TCCAGCTAGATTTGCTAAGCCATCGGATAGTGGCAGAGCTCTGTACTTTCACATAAGTGCATAGTGGTTAAAGCACTGGCTCAAGTGCAAGTATGGAGGGGATTGAGCCCAAGGCTGATGGGAGCAGAGAGCCCCAGGCTCTGGTCCTGCTCTCAAGAGCTTGTAAGGACAAATTGTTCTCCTAGACATCTGCAGTTATAAAACAGCTTTACAAGCAGCAAGATCTTCTTGCTAATGTATTTTGAAGTCTCCCATACTGCTTTCTTCCTTGCTTTAACGTTGCCACCTCAAGAGCAGGTAAATCCCACCCTACCACGTCCACTTCCATTTGAGGTAAAATTTTACTGAGTTTACAGCCACTTTTCACTCAAAAGACTTCCAGATCTCCCCAACTTTACTACTATTCGTGGGAGCCAAGCACTAGTATCATTTCCCTAGCCTAGTAGTCTGCCTGTGTATAGTCATTCTGCATGTCAGTGTACTATAATGAGATTTGCTTCTTTGCCCAAACCAGCAGAGAATGGCACTTGGGCAGCAGGTGTTTAATACTGGAGACTTGCCTGGATTAATTCGTAATGTTAAATCCATGACACCCCCATATGCCACAGCCATGCAATACCCTACTGAAATTCCTGCCTAAATTAAAATCTGGTATTAACCCTGCACAGGTGGGCAATAGACACCAGCAGTCAAGAGCCCATATCCTCTCTCTAGCTGTGGATAATCTGCGATGCATCAAAGCAACAAATAAAATCCAACTATTTGACCCTTTCTAGCCCCATAGGAGCCTTATTCCCATTGACATAAGAGAAGTGGGACAAAGAAACACAGTCATCAGAAACTATCACCATAAAATCACAGAGAGATTTAACCTGCAAGGACCTACAGGGGATCTCCCATCTAGCTCCTGGCCAAAGCAGGGTTAACCTCAAAGCCACATTAGGTTGCTCAGGGCCTTGTCCAGTCTGGTGATGTCCTCATGGTTGGCAATTCCTTTCCAAATCTTTGGGCCTGTCCCACATCTGCACCATGCTTACATTGAACAATTTTTTTTTTCCTAGAATGTGCCTACTGCAATTTAGAATAACAAAATCACAGAATCATTTAGGTTGGAAAAGACCCTTAAGGTCATCGAGTCCAACTGTAAACCTAACACTGCTAAGACCACCACTAAACCATGTCCCTGAGTGCTGCATCAACACGTCTTTTACATACCTCCAGGAATGGTGGCTCAGACACTTCCTTGGGCAGCCTGTTCCAATGCTTGACAATCCCTTTCGTGAAATAAATTTTCCTAATATCCAACCTAAACGTCCCCTGGCACAGCTTGAGGCTGTTTCCTGTTCTCCTATCACTTGTTACTTGGGAGAAGAGACTGACACCCACCTCATTACAATCTCCTTTCATGTAGCTGTAGAGCGTGATAAGGTCTAATCTGAGCTGTTGCTTCTTGTCCTTTCTCGGACATCTCTGAGAAAAGTCTGAGTCTGTCTTCTCTATATTCTCCCTCTAGGTAACTGAGAGCAGTCATTCGATTCCCCAGAAACTTTGTCTTCTCCAGTGAGACAAGCCCACTTCCTTCAGCATCTCCTCATATGCTATGTACTCAAGCCTCAACCATCTTAGTGACCCTCCGCTGGACTTCACAGTCGACCAACCTTTCCAATACCTCTCTGGAAGGATATGCTCAAAGTCCTGCTTCCATGAACACAGGCAAAATCAAGTTGTCAGTGATGTTACCTCCGCTCCATTGCAGCATCCCTTTCTCCGTGTAGCACCCTGAAGCTATCTGTCTGCATAAGCATGATTATCTCGTTCATGTCTTTGGCTTGTTTTCTGTTTCTTCTGCTACTCGTCACATATCATTGACTCCAGAATGGTTTAGGGCTCAGCCACGTGTTCCTTGCATTCACCTTGCATTCAGAGAAATGGCTTGGTCCAGACTTAACAGTGCAGTCAACAGCCTATGCTTTGGGCTTCTAGTATTTCACTATTATTTTTATAAGTACGTACCATGGCTATTGATGATGGAAGGACAGAGAAGCTGCCTGGATGCTTTTCAGAGCTTTTGCCAGTCTTCCTGCATAGCCCTCTCTGTAATCATTGCTGAGTCCTCATGGGCAGCTGAGCGCTGATAGATCCTTGAAGGAGAGGTGAGGCCAGTTTTGGGGGAGCAGTTTCATGACTGTGGGACCGGCTGAAAGAGCAGAAAGGTCCCTGCCAGTGAAGCAGAAAAATGGGACAACAGAGCACAAAACAAGTCGGGCCTGGTGAGAGATGCAGATCGGTAACTCGAGAAGGACTAGCTACAACGAAGCCTGAAGGCAGAGAGGGGACACTGGACCATGCTGTGGTGGAGACAGGGAGGGTAGTGAGGAGCAGTGATGGACCTTGGAAGCTATTACGTTCTCCACACATGAATCAGGCTATGCGGAAAGTCCAGCTACTTCTCAGCAGGGAACAATACTCCAGGATAGGCTCTGGATGATACACTGTTTTTGCACCTTGTCCCTTCCTTGTGCTGGGTCATTCCCCAGGGTGTGCTTCATGGAAGGGCCTGGCCTTTTTTAGCACTAGCAGCACCAGGCTGGAGGCAGTGGTTTGCTTTGTTTTGTAGCCATATCTAATCCATGCCTCTGCCATCCACCACAAAGTTCAACACCAGCAGTATGAAGTAATACTATAAAAAAACCCCACATGTCTTTAAATACATCTCAAATAACTAAGCACTGTGGAATGAATCATAAGCCACACTCCCTCGACAGATGAGGAAACACAGGGAAACAAAAACATTAAGTGCGGCAAGGAAGCTAGGTACTAGTTTGTTGCCCTACCCCTCAAGGTTTGTTTGGGAAGTTAAAAAAAATGTGTTGATTTTATTTCTTGTTAAACAGGGTGACCTCTTTACAATAAATACAACCACCCAGGGCTAGAAGTGAATGCTAGATCTCACAGGGGATTGAGTAACTTCCTCTTCTCAGGGGGTGAAGCTGTTGTTTCTAATGTGGTGTGGACCCCATTTCTGAGACAGGTGTGAGCAGCAGAGGAAGTCTTGGCTCCAGTGGAATGTTCCCATCTTGGCCCTTGGATAACATGAATAGCCCATAAGGGCAAAAGAGGTTGAGACTTCAACAAAAACAATTTAGAGTATCTGGGTAAATGTCCAGGGGTAAGATGCTGAGAGAAGAAACAAGCTCTGCACTATGAGCAGATGAGGTAAATGCAAGTGGTCCATGCTGTGAACATCCCCATCCTCGGGAGCAGGGACTCGGATACACCAAGAGCAGGGACAGGCTCCTGAATGCATCCTGGGTCTTGGACTTTAGCCGGGTAGGATGCCACTGACATAAAAATCTACCTAGCCAGCAGGTCCCCTGCTTGGAGAGTAAAACCCAAAGACAGACAGAAGACATGTTGTGAGCCCAGTGATAACCTGGGGAGCTGCAGCATCCAGGTTTCTCCTTCCTCTGGCAGCACGACACACCTGGAGAGCTTACCCAGTGTCACCAAAAAGGCCTTGAACAGCACAGTAGTTCCCCATTCAGTGGTCTTCCCAGAAACGTGGAGTGCCTAACAGTGCAGTCTCCCAGGAGAGTTCTTGTTTAATGTCATCGTCAGTACATAGAGGTGTGACATTCTTGTCCTTCTCTGCTCTCCTCCCAAGAATGGAAAAGATTAACCAAACATCATCTACAGTAACCATCGAGGTTAATTGTGACACTGCCAGTCTGTGCTCCAAGCCAGATGGATGTCAAGAGCAAAGAGCACTTCATGACATTTCTGCAGAAAGTAATCTGATTAGATAGCTCTAAAATTAAGCAAACATGGACAAACCCTAGTGCCACCCTCTGTCTGGCTGATTACTGCACGAAGCTCCGGTTCCCAAAGCATCAGAAGAACTCAGAGAAACCTCTCTTACTGATGAGAATATCAGTATTTTGGGGCCAAATAAAATCCTCCTTTCCAAAGGCTGTGGATTTTATAACAACAGATGTTCATGTGTTTCTTGTTTGCTGACCAAACCGCCAAAGGCTTGAGGAGCACCTCTGCCAAGGGGAAGGAGCAACCCAAGGAGATCACAAAATCACTGCCCACTCTGAAATCTTCAGCCATGGAGGAAACATAGTTCCCATTCAGTCCCTCTGTTGTCTACTGTTAAATAGCCATTCCTATTTACAAGCCTAGGGACAGGAATGGACTATCTACATACCTTTCATAAAAGTAATGCATAGTCTCTGCCACCTTCTAATGCAAACTCTTTGGGAAAAAGGTCAGCATTAGATGGAACAAATGCATAACAAAGTGAATATATGAGAATTCAGCAGCTTTTCATCTCCAGAATTGTCTAGAGAAGAACATGGGAACACTAGGAATGTTCAGAACATCTCGTCATGGTGGTTTCCACAAACTGGAGATACCCCAAGACTGTCTGAAATGACACTCACTTATTGGCTTTGTTATGCATTTGTTCTGCCTAATGCTGACTTTTTTTCTAAGATGTTTGTATTAGGAGGTAGAGGAGACTATGCATTACTTTTATGAAAGGTATGTAGGATTTGCGTACTCACCCTCACAAAAAAAAAGGAATGATCTGGAACATCTTTTTTGAGTCCAAATAACCAAGAGCTGGGTGTGGTTGGAAAGGCGTGCTGGGCTTGGCATGACCACTGTCCATGTACAAATGGCATTCCTTCAAAAATACAATGGAAAAGCAACTGCTGAAGGAGGAGGCTGAGCATGGAAAACTGGCTTGAGTTGAGCTGGGGAGAAAGCCTAGCACGCCAGTGCTGGGAATAGGCTGGAGTCTGTCAAGCCACAAGCCAGAGATGTTGGGCTGCCAGCTGGAACACAAGGTAGTTCTTCTGCATCCGCCTGAAGACCAACGTGACTGCAACTGATGAATGCTCAGCTTTTTTCAGTGTGTGGACTATAGACTTTCACCCAGTAGCAGATGACATTCATGAGCTGTGAATTCTTTGCTGCTGCATGGCTGCACTGACCTGCACGTGCATGGTGATACATCCTACTCCGAAACTTGCTCTGGAGATCAGTCTAACAGCTCATCTGCAAGGCTGCCGACAACTCTCTCTCTCTCTGTGATTTGCTTGTTCTAAGTTTGCACATCATGTTCCTTTTGGAACGCAGTGACTGGTTGGCTTCTTCCCTGGGGAGCAGCTGAGCCCAGCTGGGGAGAAAGCGCAGAAGTAATAGCCATGACAAGGAGATGGGAAGCTGCATCTCCAGAAGCAGCAGCAAGGAGGAGCAGGGAGCAGGCATTGGGGTGATGCAGAAGGACCAATGGCCTCACACAGAGTTGAAGTCCAAGCTGCAGAGCTGACTAGACCCAAGTCTGGAAGCAAGGACACCTACAAGGACACAATGCTGGAGGAAAATGTTTATGAACCTCTTATTTTTCTATTCCAGACTTGTTCCTCTGAGTTCCCTTTAGCTGAAGGGTGATGTATTCTAGTTTATACCTGGGTTTGTTATGCTAGCAGTCTCTGTGGGGTGTTGGAAAGTCTGAGATCCCTGCCAAAAGTTTGGCTGACTCAGAGTCGCGACACACCCTGGCAAGAAGTAGAAGCCAGGGTCCGAGAAAGAAACAGGATGATGCCTTGAGAAACTCTGCAAAGACTTGTTTGGTGGAATGGTGACTGCTCTTTTAACTCTTGGCAGATGGCCATCCTTTACATCCCTGAGCTAAGATGGAAAGAGGCCAAGAAGATGTCAAGTCTGGCCATAACTTGCTGGCCATAGATAATTAATTGGTCTTTAGGATGCTGTGTACAGCCTGTTCATTTGTTGTACAATAGGGTGCATGATGTGCGGGGGGGTATGTGGTATACAGCAGGGTAAATGATGCATAAGAGTGATAAGGAGTTTCACAAAGATTAAGCAGAAACGAAGGACTATCAGAGGCCTCAGGCAAGAATACACCCAAGTACATATAACTAGCACATCGCAAAGAAGTGCAGGTAAACCAGCAGACACCAAGATAAGAAACTTGAGAAATCCACAAACTGCTCAGTGAGCCAACTCATGACCATATGTGGAAGAAAAGACCCAGAATTCATGTAAAGGACACTAAGAGACACCTCTTCAACAACAACAAGGAACCACCAGGAACCACCAGAGACCATTGAGGACCCCATGGAAGCCCCACAGAGACCCAGGCCACATGCGTAATGATTATGCAAATATGATAATTAGTTCCAGGAAACAGAATAAATATGTATGAACATTCCAGTAGACTTAATGCACATGTATGTAACAGGATGATATAAGTTTGGAGTAAGGCAACATATGGCATGCATGTTAGGCGGAGCAATCCCCCGTGCATCTGGCACCGTAATAAAGAATGCCTGCTTTTTAATGCCACATTGGCATTAAGAAGTTTTACTCCCAATTTCGGTGACACATTCCCTTCTTCTTTCCAACATACCAGTTGGCTTACACATGAGATTTCAGAGCTGACTCACTGGTGCATTTTCTTCTCTTCCAAAGCAGTGTTTGAGTTGGAAGGTGCTGGTCCTATTAGAGAAGCTGTTTTGTAATCGAATGCTAAGCCCGTCTCTTGCAAGGTTGCGCGCTCCCACGGCTGAGACCATTGCTTCTGCTTATCACCATCACTTCTGTGTGCCCCAGCAAATTAACTAGCAGTCATTACCTATTTCTCACATGCATATTGGTGGACACAGCTATTAAAAACCTAATCATCACTAACATGCTGGCAGCCGGCTGCGAAGTCTGAGCCACTGGGTGTCTTTGTTTACCTGCTCACCACTTACTCCACAAAACGAACTTGACAGAGTACTTCAGCTCTTGCCTATAGTTTGTATTGCCAGCCTGTTTTGGCAGGGCCACACCACTTCTTCCCAAGACCTGCTCGTTTCTGCACACAAGTATTCTTACGATGTTGGCCACGATCGCCTCTGCCAAGAATTCAGGGCAAAAGCATTTATTTTATGACATTTTTATCATCACAGTTGCCAGGCTTTTCAAAAGACTGGTTAAAAGTGCACTTTTTGTTTCTTTGAACTGGATTTTTACAAGTGGCTTTGTACAGCTAGTGCTATGCTAAGTAGCCTCAGAGGCAGGGAAAACCATTGCATTAAAAATTTTTTAGTGCAATTAGCTCAACTCAGAAATGGAGCAGCAAGTATGACGTCACTACTTTTCTTATTTTCAGGTGCAAACCTGTTTCTCTTAATCATGCATGAGGAGTTTTAGAACCGCACAAAAGCAGTAGTATTTTGGTAGTAGAGAAAATGTAGTTTTAGACTTGAGTACAGTACAATTTAAATCTCAGTCAAACGGAGCACATGTTCACATTCAGCTGTCCTCCAAAGCATTCTTTGTCTTGGCAATGGCTCCTTCCACACATTACTTCTGGCAGTTATTTTTAAAAAGCCCACAGTCAGCCTCTATAGGTATTGTAGCTTGAGTTTTTCTAATGTTCTTCCCCCAGCCCTGACAGGAACCCATTTGGTATGGATGCCATCTTAGGGGTGGGAGAAGATTTCAACAGGACAATAAAGATGATTTCACAGATGTTTGTTACCATGGGACCCAGCATTCTATAGGACAATCCATTGTTTTCTCTCTGTGACTTTAGTTTTTCATACACAGATGCTTCTTGCCTGAGCCTTGGGGCAATTCTGTAGTTAACAAACTGAGCTTTCTGTACCAACTTCTCCAGCAAGCAGTCCTGCAGGATTACTGTGCTTAGCACATGTGGAGACCCCATGCCTCAGGTGCAGCATGGAAGCACCGCTGACCCATTATAGCTTCTATCCCATCAGTACAGCTGCAGCTCTGCAAAAGGTCAAGTCCACATCGACATGGATGTAACCAGGATTGTGTTTCTTAGCTGGGAAACAGCCGATGAGGAAAGGGAACCATGTGGGTTTGCAGGAGCAAGGCTGGGGAGAACCTCAGGATGCAGAAGAGTTGCTCGTTGGAAGAAAATGATTTCTCAGAGCTGTGAATCAGGCCAGTGCCTTCTACCACTGCTGAAATACTCCAAAAGACTTCAGTCGAGGAAGACAGGATCCCAGCCTTGCTGCGGGCAAGGATGACTCAAAAGGAAAGGCATGGTGTGACTCCACAGGTGGAGGAGGGTGGTCCCCTCCAAGAAGGCAGCAGAGGTATTTTTTGTTGCTGCTGTGAGCTGGGCTGAGTTGCCTGTTGTTTTCACGGGGCTGAAGCACAAAGGTTGCTTTGAGACAACTAACGAGCAAGGCAGTGGCTGGGAGGCAGCACCAACCTAACAAATTTCTGCTGTTCCCCAGCACTTTCCAAGGGCTTAGCCTCCATCAGGTCTCACCCCCTCTAGTACCTACAGCTCTTCTAAAATCTCCTGCTCCTGCAGGTTGCTACCATTGGTGCTGGGATGAGCATCTCCAGGGCAGAGCTTTCACTCTGGTGCTTCAGCCTCACCCAGGAGGGTTGGTTCTGGTCTGCCAGGGCAAGTGAGGAGCAAAGAGAGTGAGGCAAGGGACAGCGTGAGTCACACAGACATACCGAATTGCCCGCAGCAGTCTGAGGGTGCTCGTCTGTGGCAAATGAAACCCAGTCCTTTAGTTTTGTATTTTCTTCACACTGGAAAATATCTAAAATGGTTACTTCTGTGTAAGCTGAGCATGATCTAGGTCCTCTGCAATGTGCCTGACTCACCAGCTCAGCTTCTGCTCTCTGCTGGAGATCTTTGTGCAGTTATTAAGAGAAATTTGGTTTGAGCACATAATGGCACAGAGAGGGTTTTTTTGTCCTAAAATGAGGAAAATAATACATTCTGTGTATTTGCTTTTGCTTTTCTACATTCATCTTCTTATACGATTATTTTTAATGACCATATTTAGAAACAAATTGTCCCTGTAGCGTTTCCCTGCCAAAATACATGTTTTCCTGCACAACACTTTTGTCATTTGTTAGCCCAAGCTTTGCTCCTAATGGCCTCAGTCAAGCAAGCGTCAATGATGGTCCAAAGTCTGTATTTGCTGTTCCCTAAAAAGACATTTTCAAAATTATATAAAACAGTTGACCATTTTTCCCCAAAAAGAGTTAATGCATTTTTTAATAGTGACCAGAAATATCCACAATAGCAGGAGATCCTAGAAGAAGAACAAAAGAGTGAGATGCAGGTGACGGAGAGAAGGAATACGGAAATCTGCCCAAAAACCATGGGAGGGAGAAGTTCAGAGGAAGGTGTACGTAACAGCACTGTCAGGTGCTGGAGATGAGTGTGCACATTTCTCTAGCCCAATAGTCTTCACAAAGCAGTTTGGTTTTGCCCGTGTTTACTGTAAGGCTCTGCTTTAAGCAGCAGTGGGATTTCTTTGGGCAAGTCAGGACACCTCGAGGTACATATTTGTAAGTAGAAACAAAGACTGTCAAATTCTTTCTCAACACAGTTGCATTTCTGAGGAGTGTCTGCCCTTGACCTGTGTGACCAGGTGAGAATTGGGCTACACGTGGTTTGCTGGGTTGACATGGAGCTGGTTTCCACCAGCTGGTTCCTCTGTTCTTTTTGGGACAGTTTGGTGGTCCATCTTGTCCAAGGAAAGGCATGCATCCCTGCTCCATTATCTCGGGAAGGCAGACGCCTTCTCTCCTGGTGTCTGTCCTTCATCACAGGCTCTGGAGATGATGTTCCTCTCTAGTTCTTGGCAGTCCTCTATCACTTGAGTTTTCTCCTGAAACTTTCCCAAAACACTGCCTTGCATCCTGTCTTGTCCATGCAAGAAAGTTATAGCAGAAGGTAGAAACATGAATTTAAATGGAAGTAGTTATAGCAATATTATTTTCCACAGTCCACTGCAAAGAGCATTACATGCGGTACCTCAGGGATGTTTTAACCCTGAAAGGCTTAGCCCAGCTCTCCCCTATCTTGTCTGGACTTTGATTTTGGCCAGTTCCTCTCTGCCCTCTGGAACTGCAAATGCTTCAGATCTAACATTCATGCTGAAAACTTTTCCCAGAAGTGAAAGGTCCATAGCTCTGACTGTCCCCG